TCAACGATCATTAAAAATGACTGAGCCGATTATTAGCCCCTCCCTCATTTATCCGCGACACCTTAAAGGCCGGTCCGTGAAAATATTGTCGGGCATAAACCGGTCCGTGGCGCAAAAAAGGTTGGAGACCGCTGATTAAGAGGACCCGAGGGAAGCTCGGAAAGCTAAGCAGAAGTTATTTGGAGAGGAGAGTGACTGCCGTTGGTTGAAAAGAGAGGTAAAAAAAAACTTCAGTGGTGTTGCACACTATTTTATATTATTTTTTAAAGTCATTATTCAATACATTGTTATTGTTAACCCTTTAAAGCCGGTCAGAGCAGCACGCTCCGTTTTGTGTAACTATTTTTAAATCCCTGTAGAACCTGAACCGTGTAAGCTAGCGCAATAATTTGTTTTGCATATGAAACCGGAGGAGTTGTACTTACATCTTATGCCATCAGCTTGTCCTCGGTCACGGTTTCCTTCCACATAAGCTTTGCAAAAATTGCATAAAAAGCGCTTGCAGGAACAAAAACATAATATTCCAGAAACACGCTTTGCCGATCCGATCAGCTGTTCGTAACACTTCCCACAGTGAAACAGAGTCAGCGCGAACTATCGCATGTCCGCCATTTCCTGCCCGAAACCGGAAGTGACGTCATTTTCGCGGAAAATGTAGTTTTTTACTTGTAGGCCTTAAAAGCCTATACTGGTGTTTTTATAAGTCATGTTTGACTTTTCTGAATAGTTTCTGGGATGCTTAGAACTCGAATTGCACTGCTGGAAATAGTTTATTTTGATGCACATGCTGTTTTCTTTGCAAATTTGCATCATAGGATTGTTTTTTGTTTTTCCTGCAGTATATAAAAATTGCTGTATCTCCAAAATAAAACTATGAAGACACTCAAAATAAATTTCCTGTGGTGGGAAACTATTTTTTGCAACTTTTATTTAGTTTTGAGGTAATCTAATTTCTCCAAGTAGAAATATATGTAAAAAAACAAAAACGATTTTCAATTAGCACAGTGGCACGGTGGTTAGCACTGTTGCCGCACAGCAAGAAGGTCCTGAGTTCAATTCCACCATCAGGCCGGGGTCTTTCTGTGTGGAGTTTGCATGTTCTCCCCGTGTTTGCGTGGGTTCTCTCCGGGTACTCCGGCTTCCTCCCACCGTCCAAAGACATGCAGCTTGTGGGGATAGGTTAATTGGATAACCCAAATTGTCACTAGGTGTGAGTGTGCGAATGAATGTGAGTGCGAACGGTTGTTTGTCCCTGTGTGTTAGCCTTGCGACAGACTGGCGACCTGTCCAGGGTGTACCCCGCCTCCTCGCCCTATGACAGCTGGGATAGGCTCCAGCGCCCCCCGCGACCCTGAAAAGGATAAGCGGAAGTGAATGGATGGATTTTCAATTTTTTTGTAGTTTATTCTACTTTTTTGCAATTAATGTAGTTACTATGGACTTAATGCATACATATTATTAAAATATGGGCTATAACAGTTGTATAGCAACTTGAAATGCTCCCACAAATGGCACTACAACATGTAAAAAAATAATATAAGCTCTGGCGGACTTGGTTCTATAGTAGGTCTTAAAGGGTTAAATAAATATCGTCAAATAATCGAGATCTCAATTTCAGTGAAAATAATCGTGATTATCATTTTTGCCATAATCGAGCAGCCCTATTTAAATGTGCAAATATTCTTTGTTAATCTATTGTAGGCATCTAGAAACAAACATGCTAATGTATACGTTTTTAGAGGGAATAATTTATGAAATAGGTTTTTTTTTTTAATAAGGGAATAAAACTAGAAAAAAATAATTTAATTAAAGTATATTTTAAGGAGATTTTCCCCATTTTTCCATAATTAAAATTGAATCTGAAAACGTCCTTTTTTCAAAGTTCTTCTTAATAAGAGCAAACTGGAAAAGTGGTCGACAAAAAAAAGAAGTGTCTGTTTAAAAGACAAACAAACAAAAAAATAACCAAATATATATTGTCATATCCTTAAGAAAGCCCTGACAGATGCACGTGGCCCTTCAGCTGATTCACAAATGATCAAGCAGCAATTCTTAAGGAAGGCAAATAGGTAGAAAAGGCTGAGGTATACCAGAGGCTCTGTCATGGTTTGGGCATGCTTTTTGGCCAGTGCTGTTGGAGATCTCGTCAAAATTGATGAAATATTAACACAGAAAAGCATCGTCAGATTTTGATCTATCATGCAGTGTTATCAGGTAAGATTGGCAACTGCTACATTTTTCTGCACATCAGTGAACATAAACACAGAACCTGGACCTCAGCATTATTGAAGCAGTGTGGGATCATCTTCAGAGGATGGAACAAAAGGAATCCGACATCAAAAGAAGAGCTCTGAATGTCCTCCAAGAAGCCTGGAGAACTATTCCCGAGCGAGTTTGTCACACAGCGGAAATTTGTGTTTTTATGTTTTATCAATCTGTGTATTGGTACATAGTGTTGATTTTATTTGCATGATTTTATAGTGATATTTATATTGCATGGTTTTATCCTCATATTTATATTTGTGTTAATGTTGTACCATGTTCCTTTAACCCACTGTGGACTAAACAGTCAATTGTAGGCACCTGTGAGGTGGGGGCGTTCCCCAAGGTGGCCTATCAGCCGCCAGGTTGACCTGTTAAAGGGGATGGTGAGCGCAGAGACAAAAGGAGAGAGGAGTGACGCACGAAGGGTGAGGAGGAGAAAAAGGAACGCGTGCAACCCCGCACGTGTGTGGAACGAACTGCTGCCTGACTGTGGGGCGCCGCGAGTTGTTCGGCGATCCAGTCCTAACGGCAGGAACGGCAACAGTGGGTGGCGATGGCTGCAATGCACGACAGGGCAGGGATGCCCCTCTGCCTGCATCTGACGGTGAGACGAGGGAGGCCGTGTTCAGGTGTGGAGTGGGGCGGGACTGTACGGCGACGCGCTGTCAGGAGGAGACAGGTCTGCGATAGGAGCCCCCTCCCTGGTCTGTTGCTGACGAGTTTTACCATCTCGGAAGAGAAGTTCCTCTCCTGTCTCTTTCATATAAGGACCATTCGCCCATGTGTGGCTGGACTGTGGGATTATGGGACTATGGGAGGGTAATTTTAGCATATGGAAAACATTCATTTAGCCTTGTTTTAATATTGTATAGTTATTTCTGCCGGCAGGGTTTTTAGCGGGTTGCAACACTATTTTTATTGTATACGGGGAATTTTATCTTGTATTTGTGACTCTGGCTGTGTTTTTTTTATGGAAATAAATGGTGTTTGAAGCCAGCTTAGTTTCTGTGCCCTGAGCGCTGACCCGCCCACTCCCCTTTTTCGCTTGTATGTATACCAGACGTGGTGGTGGTGAAGATTTAGGTCCACCAGTCTTAGCGGCTACAATTAATATTCATCGTGTTGTCGGATGAAGCTTTTGTACCTTATCAGATGTGACTGCATGTTAACTGCAGTTTAATCTCTCTTACATGCGAGTGAAATTCTTGTGTGCGAGCTTCACAAGCAACAGAGTTGTGCAAAATACAATAACATAAACAGGCAAAATATACGAATGGCTAAATCTAAAACTAAGAAATATATGTACAATATATCACTACATGTTTCTCCCGTTTTACAGAAAACCAGATGACTGTTACAGTGAGGATGGATACATGAGATCTGACTGATTTGATAAAACTAAGACTGAGGATGTCCTCTCGGGTTTCTGCTGCGCTGAAGAGGTCAAATAGCAACTGTCAGCAAATGTGTTGGCCACTTCTGATTTTACAGGTAACATTAACACAATGGGGCCCAGCTCCTTGTTATAAGGTAAAGTTTACCTTTTTGCAGCTGTGCCCACACTGTAGTGCTGTCATCATTTACAAACAAAAGAAACCACAGACACATCCCTCGGGAATGATCACCACCAAGAAAAACCAAAACTAGTTACTTTCTTATTTATATCAAAACAAGCTCAACAGTGCCATCTCACTTCTGTAAGTGGTAACTGCACTGAGGTACAAGATTTGCTGGTGCAAGATCAAGTGCACTTACTGAAGGTACTGTTGATTCTTTGGGGTCGAGTATGCAGTTTGTGCCGATATTCTGCTGTTCAGTGTTGGACAAATGACCTCTACATTTGTCTGTGTAATCTTTAACTCTCTGTTTGAAGGCCTCAAGTTCTGTATGGAAGACCTCTAAGTAGACGTCTTGTCCTTCCTGGAAAAACAACAATATGTCTGAGACACTCTGAAAGCTAGTATATGATGGCTTTTTATTATTATCTCTAGAAAACAAAGCCAAATTATTTTAGCATGCAACACTATGAAAGCCATAATAAGATGCACAACATTCATACACATCAATGATAAGAGGAATTTCTCTTACTTTGGCTTTATGAAAGAACTGTCTGAAGCAGCCTCGAGGGTCCTGCTGAGAGTTTGAAGCCATCTCCAGGATGAACTGCATCACTACAACTTGGTGTGCCACCTGCTCCATCAACGCTTCTTTCTGCAGAACACAAGAAGGAAAAGCTAGTGTGATGTCTTTGGTTTTCTCACCAGATACCCTCTTTGTAAGTTCTTTACCTGGAAACTGGCCCAAATTTACTTTTTTTTTTTTACGTTACCTTTTAATTCACTGGTTGAAGAATTGTTAGAAATACTGACTTTTAATAATTAACATCTATCCTCCTTGGATTATTCTATATAGAGCAATATAGTGAAAAAAAGCTTCTATAGGACTATCCTATGTCCCATTCAGTAGCTTGCAGGATCACCTTTAGCACCAATAATCTGATGCAATCATTTTCTATACATCTTTATCAGTTTCTCACTATGGAGGAATTCTGTCCCCCACACAACACTGCTTCAGTTTCCAAGCATTCGTTTATGCACAGCTCTCTTAAGGTCATACCACAGCATTTCATTTGTGCTGAGCTCTACACTTTGCATGGTCCATTGGAGGCAATGCATTACTTCAAAACTCATGCCAAAATAACGATCGATTGATAGATAGCTAGCTTACGCTTTACACTTATCTTACAGATCAACTACTCAGGACACCTCCCCTGGCTCTGTTTTTTAGCATTTGGGAATTACATGACCCACAGAGTTATGACCCACACGAAAACTGCATTATGCTGTTTATTGGATAAACTGTTTTTAGTCACTTGATGAGATGTTGACTATAATGAAGCAATAAAGTAACACCAGGCCTACTCTGTCGGCATATTACCCCTTCTTGCTGTAGACTCATGCACCACAGAATTAAGTAGTTTGCAGTTTCCTCACAGATAAGCTGAGGCATGGCTGCAAGGAATCGCTGACTGTCATCCCACCTTCGCAGCATACCTGACAAAGACAAATAAATAAATACAAGATTGATTACAGAAACGTACGACTTTTAAATATCAGTAATATATGCAGTTATTTCTTTAACACAGCAGTCAACAACTGATCTCTTTTCTGCTTTGCTGTTGTTAGCATATGCAGTATCTACTGAGCACAACAACAAAACTGCCTGTGAATCCAAATCTGTGCAAATTCATAATTTTTGCATCACCTGTCCGATCAGTTGATAACTTGGTTTCTTATTTCTTATGTAACTATCCATTAAAGCTTCTAAAGCAAAAATATACAGCCTGTGTTCAGTGAAATTATAGGTGTGATAAAAGTTGATGGCAAGGTATGTAATACAGGTTCTTCTAAATGTCCAATATAGACTGAGGAAAAAAAAATACCATGACACTGAAGCCGTCACACCCCCCCCTTGTAGCTTGTTCATTGTTCATTTGAGGCAGAAAATGTGTAAATGTTCTTATCCTTGGTTCTAATGTCCTGCTAAGTCTGTTTTACACAGCTGGAAATGCAGCTACTTTAATGCAGAACACACACCACAAACAGTTATTCATTAAAAATAAATAATTAATTTCACTGTGATCGGCTGATAAACTAAAGCAATCTCCACATCTCCTTTATTGCGCTGTGAGAAAGTAGCAACTAACGTTTAAATGTATCCAGTTTAAAGTTTCAAAGCTCTAATGTACAGCCATAATGTTTCAAATAAACAGGAGCACTGAGACTGAACTTGGCATTAAAATAATTAACTCGAGTTGTTCTTTATATATTTTTATTCCTATTTCATCATTATCATCTGGTAACATCTCTGACTGAAATGGGCACCACTCATAGAGATCATTGTGTGCAGAGGAAGAACCATATTAGGCATGAAATGCTCCTTTTTATGTGAGTGTTGATAACCACTGCTGTGATGCCAGCAAGCTTGTTTCCCAGCAGCACATAAACAAGGCCGTAGTCCATAATTCAGATATTATTATCACGTTGACGACAAGCAACAAAGTTAATATCCAACTTTATAAGATCTATTTAAAGAAGTGTGTCCTGGAATGAAATTGTTGGAATGTCACTATGCAGGCAGCTTAAAACTTATTTGAGTTTACACATGAAAACTAAATGAGGACATCCTTTCCCTTTAGGCCAGAGAAACAATCCTACTAAACTGCAGCAACGTTAAAGCCACAAACCGACTTGCTAACTGATGACGTTTTGGCTCACTTACCAAAATGCCTGAGCTCTTGTTCGTATTTCTGGAGAAATGTCTTACACTTGTCCTGGTCCATTTCTGCAGCCTGATGCTGGACATTGATGATACTCTGAAACAGAAAGGAAACACAGTCTTAAAATCTTGGCACAGAACACAGCCCCTCTATATGTTCATTTTGCAATGTTGTTTGGCAAACTTGCCTTATCAAAAACATCCCAACTAGCTCCAAATACAGGACTGCGGCTGGGTTCCTGAACTCCCAGCAAGCTCTCCTTGCGGCGCCACTCCTCCTCATTGTGCGTGAGCTCCGTGGGGCAGGCCTGAGTCCGAGCACGCTCTTGCTCCAGCGACTCAGAGCTGTGGACTCCTAAAGAGCATAACTGATCCTGCGCCTCAGCTAGTCTCCAACTTGAGACGATCGAGGCCTTCACACAGCGCTGCTGACTCTGGCATAGCGATGCCATGGGACAATCACAGAGGTTTGATGATGTTGGCTGGTTTGAGGTAAATGGAAAGCAAATGACTACTGTTAAAAAAAAAATAATCAGCTAGCACTTGTTAGCAATAATAATAAATGAATAAAATTCAAGAGGTTTTGCACTTCAATCAAAGCCCAAAATCTTTATGCCAAGTTTGAAATTTAGCAACATATTCCTCAGAAAGTTATTCTGAACACATCTTTTCTGGGGTGGCAGTAGATCAGTTCTTCTACTAACCAGAGGGTTGGTGGTTCAATCCAGTCTGCATGGCAAGATACCGAACCCCAAATAGCTCTACCATGGATTCATCAGCAGTGTTGGGACTAATGCGTTATTAAGTAACGCGTTACAGTAACTACGTTATTATTGTGGTAACGAGCACGGTAACTAGTTATTATGCCAAAATCAGGAACGCGTTACTCGTTACTGGGATTTAGATAGGCTCGTTATTCGTTACTTCGTGTGGTGGCTATCGCGGAGCTTCCACAGATTCAATAACATTAGCAAGTGGTGGAAGCCAGCAGGTGGATGAAGGAAAAGGGAGGCAAGAGGAGAGACCCGAAGCGGCCGCTGGTCCGAGAGTGTCAGGTGAACTGAACTTCAGGTAAGAAGTTATGACCTGCAGTCCATCTGGGTCAGATATGAACCAAGTTTAGGTGGAGTTTATTTTCGTTATGCTGACTTTTTCGTACTGCGTGCTAGCTAGCATGACGGAGTTTCTATACAGCTGGGTGGTGCTATGTTACTGATGTTGAACTTTATTTTGTTCATAAGGTTAATTATTAGAGTTGCCAACCGTCCCGTAAAAAACGAATCGTCTCGTATTCAGAGAAAATATTACGCGTTTCGTATTGAGGTGAAAAGGAACAGTTTGTCCCGGACTTCAGCTACAATGAAAAAGACACAAAGCTGGAGTTATTCTGTGTTTACGCTGCACAGCTGCCTCTTCTCTCTCATTCTCTCCCCTCCCTCTCCTGTTTCTACTTCAATCATGAAACTGATCAATGATCAGCTGATCGGCTTTTCTCTCTTGTTTGTTTATCGCCCACTTTGCGCCAGAAAGAGGAAACCAGCGGATGTCGCGCTAAACAACAGCAGCACGTTTAAGCTTGATCAGCTGTTGTTAGAATTTATTTAATATTAATTTCTAGTATCAGCTGATGTTTGCTGGAGCCACAGCTGTAAAGCTGCTGGTCATGATATCGGTTTGGATATGTGGTGAGAGGGAAACATGAAGATGAAACCAGGAGATGTCCTTACTGAATCATCAGAGCTGTGATGGAGAAACAGGTTTACCTTTTAGGTGACATGAATGAGTTGAAGGGAAGTTATGAACTGTTTCTGAGAGACAAATAACACCAGGATCCTTTTCTAAGTAGCTGACAGCTGGTAACTGTGCAGGGGCGGGTCTAGCAAAGTGTTGCCAGGGGTCCATGTAGGGCATTAAAAGGGAAAGGGGGGCACAAGGAAATACTTTCTTATTCTCATTTAAAATGTCTCACTTTTAAAAAAATAATTATCTGAGTCTTACAACAAACAATTGATAGATTGATACATATATACCATCAGAACAGTGTACATCACTGTCACAACAGTGTTTATTTTCATTCAAAGGCTTTATGATTTTTCCTATAATGGTGGGCCGGTCTCTAGTCAAAATGCCCGGGACGATTTTTTTGTCCCAGTCCAGCCTGTATGCAGCTCATCTGCAGTCTGGTGTTACCTACATCTTCCTATTCAGAAGGCAGAATTTCCGAGTTCTGAGTACAATCGAAAGCACCACGACTGCAGTTTTTGTGTTGGATGTAAAAAGCAGGCTAGGATAGAATCAGGGTGGGATTTCTCTCGTGGAAATGTGCACATTATTTTTTCCTTTCTATTGGTAGGTGGCACAGTGCACTTGTGGCAAGTAAGCAAGCTAGAAGACTGGCAATCTTGCTGGGTATCCAGTTACGGAAGCAACACATTAACAAGAGAATTCTGAGTAAAACCAAAGTTACTTTCCCTAGTAACTAGTTACTCTGAAAGTAACGAGTAACTTGAAGTAACTAGTTACTTTTGATAGAAGTAACTAGTAATGTAACTAAGTTTCTAATTTAAAGTAACTTACCCAACACTGTTCATCAGAGTATGAATGTGTGTGCACTTAGGTGTACAAGAACAGTGTTTGTGTGGAGGAATGAAGCAAGTTGTATAAAGCTCTATAAGTGCTCAAGTAGAGATAGTCCATTTACAATTTACCATGAAATGACTCTCTCTGAGTGGTAAATGAGGTGATCACCTAAAAACTGAGGGATGACTCTGCATCACACACTAAATGTAGTTCATTAGCTTTTAAGCTTTCACGACCGCGTCAAGCTGCGTTTAGCTTAAGGTGGAGCATGAGGGTTAAAAATAAATAAACGCTTGTTTCCACTTCACCAGTGCTCGCATGCCTTCTCTGCTAGCTAGTAATCACACACAGCTGTCAGTGTGCGCATGTTTGAGTCGGGGGGGTTGTTACTTCCCGTTATGGCCTCTGATCCCATCAACCATCCCACCTAGGGGGTATTTCTTCCCAACCCTGATTTCAGTGGTGTACTGACAAGATAATGACGTAGCGAGTAATCTGATTACCCTATAAGCATGAGCTAAAGTAGAATAGTTATTGGGCAACTGCGGGTTAACAGCGTGAACACTGACATTTAACACTAAACTAACTGGTAAAATATTCCGTTGTTGTGTAGGGTGGAAACTGTGCTTCAGAATAAAAGAAAATGTTATAACATGCACACTCCAGCTATCTCCAACAGTATTCGCTTGTTAGAATACCGTTAAGCACATCTTGAATGAGATAACTTAAAGGCCTTACCTTTTGGTGAGGGTAAAGACCACTAAAGCCTCCGGCCGTTGAAAGTGACTCACTGCCGGGCTCTTCGCTGTGGTGAAGTGAGTCTCCGTTGCCCAGCCACTCCATAACTGCTAAGCAACTAGCTGGTTAGCTCTGCTGTGACAGTGAGACCCGCTAGCTAATGCTAGCCGTGTTTGAGGAGCCACAGACAGTGTTGCTCTTTATATTCAGCCGCCTCACGAGATTTATGTGGGATCTAAATACCTGTGTGACAGCCAACAGAACAGAAAAGGGGATATGATGCATCAAAAAATCACTCCTGCTCCTGTGGATGATAGTGTAACAACAACAACCACCACCACTGTGTTCTGGCTACGTCCCCCTTTTTTTTTTTTTAAGTGGTGACGCAAGGGACACGTGGGGAGCAACTTTAATGACGTGAAGCACTCAGAAGTTTTTCTACTGAATTCTGTTGCGTTCCAGTAAATTCTGCTATAAGGATGCTTTCTTATAGCAGAAGTAAGTTACTCTTAACTAGAAACTCAATTTTTAAAAAAAGGGAAATTATACAGATGGTCACGACATATCTGGGTGTTTCCGCAATTATTTCTGACATCAAAGTTATTCAATATTCAAACTTTAATAAGGCATTGATACTGTAAAGAGGCTTGGATAAATTTAAAAGGAATGATTGTGTGATGGAGGAAAAAATATTATTCAATATATTGGCTGAGTTTTTGTATTTCTTACGCCCTACCAAAGAAAAAAAGTAAATTTTGAATAGTACGTTTAGTACCTTCATTTCTTTACATTTTCCTTGCAAAATTGGAAATGGGTTCAGTCATTTATTGAAACATTTGTAAACATACATAGAAATACAAGTTCATTAGAACTGTATCAATTTAAAGGATAATATTTGCAAAGACCCCCTGTTCATCTGCAGTAGGTAGATTTTTTTGTCCTTCACCTGTCTAGTTTCTTCAGATTTGTTAAAGACACCCTGTAGACCACGCCAAGATATGCCGTTTTCAGCTAATAGCTCTCTGGTATCATTTTGCAAAAATCCTGTGTTATCTATTTACCACGGATGACCCTGAGAGGCCAAACGGACTGCAACTTAAGAAAACACCAGCAATAAGAAAAACGCTGCAAAAGCACACAAAACACAACGGAAATAGGAAAAAACAGATTTCCAAAAGCACAAGGGAAGTGTTTCTGGGGAGACAATAATCCGACGGACCAGTTGCAGGAACCCAAAACATGGTAGGCGTGTTTTATCATAAGTTTTTTTTTTTAAATAAACTTTATTTAACAAACAATGAGTATACAACATACGAACAGATGAAGTATACAAAACAACAGAACATGAACACACAAAGCCAGGGGTAAAAGAAAAAGGTAACAATTATAAGAATACACGCAAAAATTCACATACATAAATTGTTTTGAGAGCCTTTTTGTTGGTGGAGTCTGATATTGATTGTATGTACATTTCCACATCCTTAAAATAATGACAGAAATATGGTGTTTTGTTAGTAAACTTACATTTATGGATAAAAAATTTAGCTAAAAGTATTAACAAATTTATCATAAAAAACATTTATCATACTTCTTAGGGAACTTAAAGAAACAGAATAAAACATTTTCCCATCGTAAAGAAAACTCCCTTAAAATATGGACAATAATAAACCTGCTAAATTCCTTCCAGAATCTCTGTGTAAAAGAACAGTACCAAAAAAGATGTCACCGTTTCTGGATGATCCCCACAGAAAGTACAATTAGTATTTATGTCCCTTTTAAATTTTACCATGTAGTGACTGGCTGGATAACATTTATGTAGAATTTTAAATGAGACTTCTTTTACCTTATTTACAATCAAATATTTATGGGGGACCATCCAGACTGTCTTCCACTTGATATCTGGAACAAACCGGTTCCAATAAGGTATTATATATGGGAGAGAGACGATATCTTCTTGGAATAAACTACGTATTCTTTTATTGCTATTACCAAGTTCCTGTGAAAAGCAGATTTTTCCTATTGGTGACTCAGCTGGATCAGGGAGAGTGACTGAGGTAGAGATCGAGCTGTCAGTGTTTTTATATAACATTAAAGTCCCTGAGGGTATGGCACCAAGCACCATTGAGAATTCCTGAACACTGATTGGAAAATTATATAGTGCAATAAAGTCGTCGTATGTAAGTACTAACCAGCTGAGCCACCAATAGGATCCCATTCTGGATCCAAGTTTCCAGGAAAAGTGATTTATTTTTATATAAAATATCTCTGTTGTTCCAGATAAGGTATTTGTGAGTGTTTTATCATAAGTCAGTCGGATTTTTAGGCTAATAGTTAGGCTAACACACTTACCTCTCATCTTTTCTTTCCTCACAAAACCAATAGATCCTCCACTTCTTTTAAGTGTCTACCAGCGCAATTCTTAGCATATTTTGGTTCCTGTGTAACAGGGTCATAAATCACATTGTTATAATTACACAAAATGTGTTCTAAACCCCCAAACTGCTCCTTTTATACCTGACTTTTAGGACCTCCAAGCCTGTAGTTATGTTCATTATCAGTTAGAGCCCCTCCTTATTCTTTTCTTCTTCTTCTTTGGTGCAATCCTATAAATACAGTGTACCCCTTTTGCCTCTCCCCTTTCTACAAGGTGGGTGTCATTTCTTTCCAACACCTTAAAACACATATAATGCATATTTAGCCACCTGGATGTTTCTGATTGCGATTTTAGTTCAATTATTGTCATTATTAAGCCTGTTTTTGTTAGATGTTATAAGTGTGTAGTATGTGTGTATCATAAATGTGTTCTAGGCGCCATAAATGCTAGCATGAATATATACTCCTTGCTAGCTTGGAAGTTGTGGTGGGTTGAGCTAACCCTCTTCCCCACTGTTTGTATTTAGTCGTAGGAGCTGGAGTGGGCAAATTATTTACTTGGAGGTCTTTCTTTCTTTTACCTTTTTTATCAGACACAACGCAGAATCACACCGGTTACACTTGCACCGGGTCCGTCCGTCCGTCACCCCCCCAATGATCAAATAGAAAAACTGGACTGAAAATGTGTGGAAAAAAAACAACCGAAGTACAATGTACAAATACAAGGTAATATTGGTGACCAGCATAACGACAAATATATGACCAAACCTCAATGTTTAAACAATTAAGAAACCCTAAAATCCTCAGTTTATCTCTTTGTCAGTGAAAAGAACAAATCAGCGTCATTGTGTGTAGCATCTTCTGGAGTATTAATGGCAGTGATTGAAAATATCTACAATTTCAGGAGTGCGCAGTTACACATTAATATGTGTGGAAGGTTAACTGCAAGAGATTGGACAGGATTTATATTGTTATACCTTCCCTACTCCAGTTTGTTGACAGACCACGCTGCTGCGATACAGAAAACATAAAAGCCACTACACAGGTTAGAAAAAGGAAAAATATTACCTACTTATTCTGATTGCCATGTTACTGGCAATTTAAAAATGTAGTAAACAGAAGACTGTTTTGCATAGACATTTGCAAGAATGGATCAAAGCATCAAATTTGTGCAAAAAGAAATGAAAAAAATGCTTATATTGTGTAACTAAGCCACTTATGTGAAAGATGAACAAAAAGTTTTAATTCTTTTTTGTGTTAAATTGCGTACTGTGACCGGACGGTGGCGGTAGCGTACTTTAAACTGCCAGGACAGACCCCCACAGAAAAGACAGAGCAAGAATAGTCGTTGTGAAATATTTCTCCCTAGTTTCAGTTTACAGGCAGCATTACCTATTGGACTCGTACCGTTTTAAGTCAGCTCCGTATACATAGAGTCTGCTGTTACATATTCAGGTTTGTAGTTGGAGCTCTGGCATGATTTATCAGTTATGGTGTGTGAATATGTGGCCAAAAAACACCAAATGCATGTATAGTTTAAAAGGAAGCGCCGCCTAAGACCAACTTATGGGCGAAATTGGCCCACAAGCGGACCAAACAAACTGATTATAATGCATTAACACGAAGCCACAAGCGAGCTGGCTTACTTGACGTTTGCTAACTGTATAAAACTGGTGAGTATATTCGTGTCTATAACGTAACGTTATACTGTTGTGAATAAACATTTATTTCTTGTCGACGATTTAACAAATAAAGGTTATCTGTGTGGTGAAGAGCAGCGTGACAGCCTGGCTTTGAGATTATGTAGCTAGCTAGCTTACACTGAGTTTCTTCACGTTTGATTTTTGACCTTTTTAGACAATAAACCTATTAGAGGTTAACAATAGCATTCACACAGATACTTACAGAGGGTGTGCTTTTTGACTGGGTCACACGAGATCGTGTTTGTTAAAGAGAAAGTGTAGAGGAAGCTGGAGGTTTTTTTGTCACCACGAGGTGGGGATAGAAGATAATTTAAAAAAAAAGACTTCACTGCAGGTGCCGTATCTCGTTTCTCATACTCTGTAGTCTAAAATAGATGCTGCTGCCCCTGACTGTGTCAGTGCCAAAGGCCCCTTCTAGAGCCTGCAGATATTTACATTGGAGAAACAACCGGTTTTCAGGCCCACAAAAAAACATCCTCAGTATTAAACTCACACTCACTGCCAAATGGCATCTTGCCCTTTCCCAGGCTGCAATTCCCACAGGTTTCCCTTGTTGTACTGTTGTATTTATTAAATTTTGATTTATTTTTTTTAATTTGAGGACAAATGGATAAAAATACAGTACTAATACTGTATAGTACTGCAGTTCTTTCACTGCTAGTAATATCTTAATATTTTTCCTAGGAGAAAGGGGGGAATGTACAGTAAAAAAAAGGGGGAAAAATAAGAGTTTGTATAATTCTTAACAAGCTTGAAAGTCCATATTTGGTCTGACAACCTTTGTTGTTCAACATAGCCTGAACTTTCTTAGGCAAGCCTCGGGAATAGTTCTCTAGGCTTTTTGAAGGACATTCAAAGCTCTTCTTCTCAGTCCAGATGATCTTGCACTGCTTCAGTCATGTTGAGCTTTGGGGAGGCCAGTCCATAACTGATAGTCTTCCACTGTGTGCTTTTCTTTCCAAGCATTAAAACGCCACTGGCTGAAGTGCAGCCCCAAACCGTGACGGATTTGCCACTGTGTTTTACAGAAGGCTGTAGACCAGGGGTCTCCAACTCTAGGCCTCGAGGGCCAGTGCCCTGCATGTTTTAGATCTCACCCTGGGTCAACACACCTGAATCAAATGATTAGTTCATTACCAGGCCTCTGGAGAACTGCAAGACATGTTGAGGAGGTAATTTAGCCATTTAAATCAGCCATGTTGGATCAAGGACACATCTAAAATCTGCAGGACACCGGCCCTCGAGGCCTGGAGTTGGACACTTCTCCTGTAGACACTCACTGTTGTACTCTGTTCTCACCGCATCTGTACAAACTGACAACTATTTGAACGAATAATTTCAAATGTGGATTCATCACTCTATAAGATCTATTACCACTGATATTCAGTCCAGTTCTTGTGTGAACTGGAGTAATTCAGCCTTTCTTCCTTGTTTCCCTCACTTAAGAATTGCCTCTTGACAGCCACTCTTCCAGTGAGGCATTTCTTATATTACTTAATGGAACAACTGAAGGATCAGAATCATCTCTCAGGTCCTGTGTCAAGTCTTTGCTAGATTTTTTTTATTTATTTTTTTCATATTTCTTCAGGATGTGACTTTTTTTTAGGGACATACTGCACACCATGTTGAGAGATGCCGATTTTCTTTGGCTAGGGAATTTTTCATAGATTCAGCTAAAAAACAAAAAAGTGAACAAATTATGTACTTTTGCAATAAGCTGCCAGTAAAGTGCCTAAAGACTGAATTTAACATTGGGTCTTTGGAAACTTCTGTAGACAGGATTCATAGGGCAAATTAATAAATGGTTCAACAAAAAACCAAAAAAAGCACACAATGTTATGCTTTTAAAGATGTTAAAGATGGCTGTGTTTACACATATTATCCAAAAAATATCCGTTTATTGTGACAGCGAGATATTTCAACAATGTGTTTTGTTGTTCCTTCTTTCTACACCTACAGAGTGATAGCGGCACCTCATCCTGCAGACAGAAATGAGCCATACTACTCCAGAGGCCTCGGGTTTGTACCATAGTTTTCTCACACAGAGACCTCCTATTAAGGTTTCTTCCAAACAAAAAAGCTCATTTAGGTAAACTGTAGATTTGGTGGTGGCTATGAAGACTAACACACAGCTGATTAACATCAGTGACATGTACATTTGGAAGAGAGGAATGCTCTTTAAAAAAAACAAGACATCACGAGCTTTGCAATAAATTTATTTTTTCAAACATTTTTGTTAACTCATTCACTGCCATTGACGTCTATAGCCGTCAATTGCAGTGCATGAGTCAATGGGTTTAACTCATTCACTGCCAATGGCTGGCAGTGAATGAGTTAATTGAGTTTCATTTACTCAAGCATAACTTTTTTTCAAAAATCTGATGGTCACAAATAACAGGAAAGCTTCTATCAAAAAAGCTTACGCAGAGTTATTGTGTTTTTGCAACAACCCTGGTGTTTAATACATACGGCCCAAAGGCCAGAACCAGTCCACCAAAAGGATCAAATTTTTTTGTAATTAAAGTTTTTATTATTTTGAACATTTAAACTAACATAACATAAGAACACAAAACAACAAAAACCACACAAAATTATAAATAATAAAAAAAAATTTGTTCTCTTAGAGTCTCTGTTTGCTGCTCAACCTTCCCAGCATTTTCTCGCATGCGGCATTTTCAGTCATTTTCTCCTCCACATTTTCAGGGTTGGAGTCCGAGGCTCTTTCCAGAGTGTTAAAATAAGACGAACAAACGTCACAAGCCCAGTGTTTAACACTCTGAAGCCTGCTTTGTCTAACTGTGGCACCTCGCCTCTGTCCCCCAGTAGGCACAGTCTCGGTGATCTAAGTAATTGAAATGTCACCCAGCCCTCTATATATTTTAAAACATTTTCTCATATTGGGGAGACCCCCAAAAGGGTCAGATTTGACCAAATTGGAAAATGTGAAATTTCAAAGGAGGGCAACATTTTAAGATTTTCACAGCTGCCTTACTAATAAAAACATCACCCATGTCCTCGTGTAAAACACCAAAGTAAGTAATTGTTTTCCATTAAATAACTGAAAAGTACAGAGTTTTGTAGGATTACATTCCTGAATTGAATCTTATACTTGTTATACTTGTCTACCCTTTAGGCATGTGTCACTCTATATTTGGTGGAATCAGCTTGTAGTGGGTCAATTACGAAGAGGCAGTTAACGTGTAAACACGGGTTTAATAAGCATCAAATTCTTCAAGTCCTTATATACTCCTCCATTTCACCATTCTGTAATAGCACCTGTTGAAAGCCTTTTCCAGCACCTCCAACAAAATTCAAAAGAAGAGAAGTACTTGTCGAAGAATGTTGTGGCATCCTTCCAGTGAAGTTGAGCCACTTGCGCAACCACTGCCAAGTCGCACTGAAACTGTTCTGGTGGCTGTAATGACACCAAATGCCCCTTTTAGACACTTGATCTTTGTGTTTCCTTTATTTTGGCAGCTGCTTGGCAACATGCAGTCAGACTTGTCTGTGGATTTAAAACCGTCTAATTTTCACTGATATAGTTTTATCTGCCTATAAACATAAATTCTAAAGATGCACTCGGATAAAGTGCATAATTTCTCCTCCAAATTTCTGATTTTCTCACGTTCACAAACAAGAAAGGAAAAGAGTCACCTTCTAAGGGGTGAATGAGTGCATGTTCTCTGCATGTGTCTCTGTATTTGTATGTGGTGATAGGGTTATTATGTTATAATGAATGGGGAGCCTCTAGCTCTGTCATTCATCCACTAGCCAAGAGTGTAAAGAAGCTACATGCTCAACATTCCTCTCCTCTCTCCCCTTCTCATACAAACAGCGAGACTGAAGTGGGTTGTGGTGTTTGTGTGAGTCCCTGTGCACGTACCCTATGCATGTTCGGCAGCAGGATGAATGAGCGCGGGCAGGGTGCATAACAGAAAAGGAAACTCGGCAGCCTTTCAAATGTTGAGAACCGTTAAGTGGACTTTTGTGATGCTGTTTTTTTATGCATGTCATAATCCATTTCATACAAAGCCACCGTGGGTAATAAAAAAGCAGTTTTGTCAAGTAGTTGAATATAATTTAATGTCAAGTAGAATTAAATTAAAAACACTGATAGATTTTAGGAAATGATCTAAAACAAATGTAAAGTTTGCTCTTTGTGGATCAAAATATGGCAATACACTGATGTAGTGCAACTAGCATTTTCATGAATAAGAAATCTAAATAGAGTCAACATAAAAGTGAGATAAAATTAGGCAACATTATTATACTAGTATTGCTGCAATTTAGTGAATTGCAAATTCACTAATTTAGCGTGAGTTTATTAAGAGAAGCTGGAGAATTGAAAGGAAATGTTGATTGATTGAGGGGAGAAAACAAAAACAAGCTCTACTAAAAGGGCCGCTGCAGGAAGATGAATGTAAAATTCATCTTTAACGGGGAACATAATAGGCAAAAAGTGTCACACCAGGAGAGGTGCAGCAAAGAAAGAGGCCAGCTCAGAGAGAGGAGGGAGAGGTCTTTTCGTCTGCTTTCCCAGGCTATGCATCAGGAAGGCTGTATTTTTTACACCATGACCAGCGCATAGCCTTTTCCTGGGGAAATCCGAGACAAAATCAAGAGAGACTGGTGCAGGGAGGGAGAGGAGAACAGGAAAAGTAGCCCTGGGAAGGAAGAAGGGTTGCGGTGGTGGGGGCAGATACGGTGGAGGCCACACAGCATGAGTGACAGAGAAAGAAGCTGGAGTTTTTGGGAATGCTCCGTGGAACACACGCACAGGCAGACACAAATTGTAAAACACACACGCATGCTCACAGCTTCTCTTGTTTCCAAGCTCTCGTACCCACCATGGCATTCCTAAAATGTGCTTCGAGAGTCTTCTCTGGAGTATTTTGGCTGCACATTCAGCTGGAATGCAGAGCTAATGCTCGGTTCCTCTACTGTCCAACCAGCCTCAGCTGTTAATCCGATGTTATGGCTGCTCTGCTGTGCCTGTTAAAGAAATAATGTTTGACGTTATGGCTGCTCTGCTATGCCTCTTGTAACAGTATTTTCTAGTGGATCATGTTACTGCCAAGTTAAGAATTATGTGAGACAGAAAATAAGAATTCAAAAGATTGGGCAAACAAATTTAACCTTTTGTTTACAAGAATTGGGGAGGGGGTCAACAGTATAAATTGCTTTAAATCTGTGCAAAACGTATAGCGCCAACTTGTGGCTTTTGGGTTTTTTTTCAGAGGATTTGCATCTTTGAACAGGTCAGTTTTCACAAAAAGAGCTCTTATAATACCCCAAAAAGACATCCATTGAAATAGTTTTAGTTTAAAATAAGTATAACTCCACCTCTGATTCCTTAACATGTCAAAGGTCAAAGTGAAATCCCACTGTGTGTGTGTGTGATTGTCTCTGTGCCTGTGTGTGCAATATGCCCCCAGGTCTTGACCCTGCCATGCTGAGAGACCAACTCTTCGATCTGTGGAACCGGAAAGATCTGCAGATGGTAAGAGTCACTTTCACAGCGTGTGTCAGGTCCATACATGCAATACTGAGTGTGTGTGTTTACAAAGGTAGCAGGATTGGAGCTTTTGTGTGTCTGTATGAAGCATTTGCACAGGAAGGAACAAGTGAGAGAAAACCCTGAATCCTTAAATGAAGCTCACCTGTGTGTGTGTGTGTTTGTGTGTGTGTTGTGTGTGTGTGTGTGTGTGTGTGTTAATGAGGAAACCAGACTGCCTGTCAGTAGGAAGGAATTTGTGTTGCTCTGAATGAACTTGAGATCTGTGTGAGTAGGATATTGAGTGCTTAACATCTGGTTTGCAAATTAAAACAGTCTGGATTTGTCACTCATATATTATTTTCTCGTGTAGGAAGTTAGAGATTGTTTTTTTTTATTACTTTTTACACAAAATGTCTCAAAAGACTCATATATGCTGATGGAGTTAAGGCGTTTTCTGACTCTAACTTGAGTGTAACACTTTGGCTTCACAAAAACATTTTTGAAAAATCCACTTTAAAGTCATAATAATAAAACAGAGTAAGCAAGTGCTCAGAGTTGTCCACAAGGTTTAGATTCGAAGTAATCTACCATCACACTTTAATGTTTTATACATTCATTCAACCTTCTCCTCTATTATAGTTTTACCACTCCCTTCTCCTCTGTCCACCCACAGCTACATTTGGCAGCCCTCCAGGGATTTTCAAAGCTGTCTGAGCCTCTAGAGGCCTTACTAACAATCCTGGAGAGTTGTCCGGGCAAACAGAAAGGTCGGAGCCACACCCTTGGCCATCACATACTCATGGAATTCCAGACATGGATTAAGGAACATCCTCAGGTAAATAGGCAAGCAGTTACAAACCTGCTGTTGTGGTTAGCAGTCCGACTTTTTCATCCTTTTGTGATTTTGAACTGTACACAAAGGCTTGCTGACTTTATAGTTGTGCCATCATTGAGCTATTTGAAAATGAATACCTGAGCAATTTATTTTATTAGTGCAGACTAACGAACCTTCTCATTAACACCTCTGTAGTAGTGTAGTATTCTTTAGTGTTTTAAAAGGGTGTTTTTGATTTCTGTTTTGGATTGGGGGTTTGTGTTCTTCATACAGGTCAATCTGAGTTCAGTGTCGGAACAGCAAGCAGTGGCACTCCAACAGCGTGCTCTCAACTTGCTAACAGATACCCAGCCAAACTTTGTAGACAGTCTCATAAACATCTACCAACTCAGTTCACTGGATCCAGCCATACTCCGATTGCACATTACTTGGTTGCATGCTCTTAGCTTCTACAAAGAGGTGGGTGCATGATTTCATGATATTATTGTTGTTATTGCAGAAATGTTTAAGACAAAATAAAATCATAGAAAGTGAAATTTATAACCCCCACAGGCAGCAACGCTCGGTATTAAGCTGAACTTACAGGAAGAGTTAAATATGGAGGAGGTGAGATATCCAGTCTTTGTTGTCCTTGTATTTATTTATTAATTAACCATCAAATGTCTTCTATATAAACTCACTATTAAATCTCTATCCAACTTCCTAAATTTTCATCTCCTATGTTATTCTGCAGATGTGTGTACCACTAATCGTGCAGGATAAGATGTCGGTGGCCGTGTCCTTTGTCTCAGGCTACAGTCATCTAGAGGAACGATTGGTTAAACTTCTAGACTCTTGGTGTCACCCCAGCTTCTGTGTGGAAGAGCTAAACAGGTATGGTACACGTACGTGAACTTGATACAGGTGTTGACATGCAGAGCCTTAAAAGAAAAAGAAAAAAGTTGTGTAACTGTGTGGGTACGCATGTTTCCACAGTCAGTTCCCTCGCCTTAATCTGACCAAACAACGGATGGAACAGATTCAACCGAAAATGCTCACCAAACACGTCCTGCGACTCATGGAGAAATTCAAGATTGATAAAGGTGGATGATTGGGTGCATGTTTCGTTCATGCATATTGCAGGTGGATGTCTCGGGCATAAATTGTAGTGACCTTGTCTTTTTGGTGCAGGACTGTGTCCCAATGCACTGCACAAGAGGAGACTAGACTCTCTGCGTTTCCTCATGTACAAGAGGTTTGTGGAGGTAAGTGATGGAGCAGACGTTCAGTTTTATTTCAACGTCATTATTTTTTATTACGTGCTGTCATCAGCATTCACCTTTAGTTCTTTAGCTAAACTGTTCAGAGTGAAGTAAACCAATGAAAATGGAAGACAGATATAATTTTTGTTTGTTTTCCAACAAAAATTTTTTTCTGACATCTGTTTGTTTTTTGCCAGTAAAAAAACAAACAAATAACTTAGATTTGTACAGCACCTTTCAAGAAACTCGAGGACGCTTTACAAAACATTAAATAAACTCTAAACTCATTAGGAGGGGCATAAATGTGATTAGTGTGTTTAACAAGCTCGTGAGTTTCCCTGCTAACTTACAGTTCAGTGAGCTGTGCTTTAGTTTTTACGTAGTGATATACAGCTATGGGAGAGTAAATGTTTTCACGAAATTCTATGCAGTCCACTCTTACTACTTTTATAGGAACTTAAAAGGTGATGTAGCAGCCAGGTTCTGCTAATCAAATACAGTTGATTGATTTGACAGTTTGCTGGTCTGGAGCGTTCAGCTATGCGTTAACACAGTGCCATAATCTTCCCAGCAGTCCATGTCCCAGCAAATTTCACTCCAAGGTCAGACTGTGCAATGCTCAGAGAAATCCCAGGACTATAGCTTCAGTTAGCATGTGAAGAACTGAAGTAGGGTACAGTTAGAAAACTGAACAACTGTGGCTTGTTTGGAAGGGTTGCCAAGAGAAAAGCTTCCTCCCTCTAAAAAGAACGTGACAGCAAGTCTTCTGGGACAATGTACTTGGACAAATGGAACCAAAGTGGAGATGCTTGATCATAATGCATGGCTCCATGTTTGGTGAAAACTAAGCAACGCACAAACACCTCATACCAACTGTCAAGCACAGTAGTGGAGAGATTTGTTTTGCAGCCACAGGACTTCGGTGCCTTGCAGTTACTGAGTCAGCCATGAACTCCTCGGTATAACAAAGTGTTCTAGAGTCAGATGTGGGGCCATCTGTCTGACAGCTAAAGCTGGGCTGAAATTACTTCATGCAACAGGTCAATGATCCCAATCACAGCAGCAAATATACAACAACATGGCTGAAAAAGAAAAGATTCAATGTGTTGCAATGGCCCAGTCAAAGTCCAAACCTCAGTCTGCTTGAAATGCTGCGGCGGGACATTAAGAGAACTGTGCATAAACAACTGCCTGCAAAACTCAATGAACTAAAGCAATGTTGTAAGGAAGAGTGGGCCACATTCCTCCACAATGATGTGAGAGAGTGATAAAGTCATACAGAAAATAACTACTTCAAGTTAATGCTGCTAAAGTTTGTTCTGCAAGCTATAGAATCAATAGGTATACTTAGTTTAGTCAATAGAACTTATTTTTCCACTTGACTGTATGTATTATTTTTTGTGAAGTAGCAGTTCAAAGTGCAATTTAAACAAAAAAGCAGAATGTGGTAAGAGAGTGTCAAATGTAATTGTGTGACATAAATGCACAAAAGGGGAAATATAAAGTTTACTAAAAGCTTTTGAAACCCACGTCTGTGTGCTTAAGAGAAGAAATGATTTGTTTCGATAAGTTAGAGAAGATAATTAAGTCTTACCGTCACTTTAACTGACACTGCTTGCAGAGGATGAAAATGTAGACTGAGGACTAGTAGACAATATGATCAGATATTATTATTATTGAATTTTCAGTTTAGCAGTACCCTATTGTTTAGCTGCCAAATTCTCCTCACATTGTAGATTAAAAATTGTAATGAAGAATAATTAAAAATAGCATTTTGTATCTTTTTTCTTCGTAGAAAGGCATGACAGAAGAGAACTGGATTGACCATGTACAAGTGGGTTTGTATGTGTTTATATGTGACTTGATGAAGCCTAAATTTGTATGGCGCTATGTCTTGTATGCAGTAAGTTTATTGTTGTGTATGTATAGTATGTAGTGGCAGATGACCTTGAGCTGCAGATCCACTTGGTGGAGATGTTGGTGAAGTACTCTTGTCTTCGGAAAGCCTCCCAGTGGTCACTGAGATACAGCATCCCCAGATATCGACTTCCCTGTGGAGTATGGGAAACCCAGCAGAGTCTACCACGTGCTCTACAGTAAGTTGGCCAGAACATGTATAAACATCTTCTGTTACGCAAATTGTGGTATGTACAAACTGTATTTTTTATATAAAGGGAACTGTGGAGTCTAATTTTTCTTCTCCACATCCTGTTTCTCACATATTACTTACTGATTTCATCCTGCTTTTGCAACAGCTTCTCAATGCAGTCTTATAAACAAAGCTTTTGTGCTCACTTGGTTCTTTTTCACTATTTACATATTTCGCTGATTCACTCGACTCATTCATAACACCTAATGCATTGTTTTAGTCACTTTTTTCCCTCCTATTTGGTTATCAGTTTGCCATTATAGAGCACACAGTCTTTTATTTGCATATTCATAAAAAATACACATTTCTCACCTCTGCTCAGACAGATATCTCTGAGTGATACTGCAGAAACTGAGGAGTGGGAGCTAGCTCAGTCTCACTGTGAGAAGTTCTACCAAGTGCCACTTACCAAAGACAAGGTGCACTTTGTGGACACACCAGAAGCTCTCGAGAGATGTCAAAGCATTCTGCTCAAGGTACAGAGGATTAAACAGCACCTAATGATGGGAAAAGTCTGTATTTGCAATCATGTATTATTCAACTTTCTCTCCTGTGTTCTGCTATCTGTCCTTTCTTAGAAAGGTGTTGTAGTCGGAGTTGACATGGAGTGGCAGCCAACATTTGGCTGTATCTCAACTCAGCAAGTGGCCCTGATACAACTTGCAGTTTCTGATCAGGTTTTCCTAATAGACCTCTGTGCTAGGAGATTCTGTGAGCACCCAGAAACAATTTGTTTCATCAGGAGCTTGTTCTCCCAACAAAGTGTCCTTAAACTAGGTTAGCATGTATTCAGTGTTATATCCAAGTCATTCGCCCTTTTTTTTTTTCTTTTTACATACTTTGGTCTCCTACATTTCTCCTTTTATTGCAATTCAGGATATGGTATGGCCAGTGATCTTAAGTGTCTGTTGGCCACCTGGCCCCAGTTACAAGAGGACCCACTGAAAATGGAGGGGATGCTTGATCTTCTAAGTATACATAAAAAAGTAATCTTTCTTTTCATTTCCATAACTTAATATAACGCAGTTTCTAAATGAAGTCCTGCACTGTTTAAAATAAATACAGATGCTATTTTATGTCTGTAATTTGTAATGTAGATTCAACATAGTGCACTCAGCCGGACTCAAAATGGCCCTAAAGAGGTACTGGTGGGAGAGGACTGTGCAGAAAAGGGCCTCAGTCTGTTGGTACAACAGGTCCTGGGAAGGCCCCTGGACAAGACAGAGCAGATGTCCAACTGGGAGAAGCGGCCTCTACGCATCAGCCAAATTAGATATGCAGGTAAGGTATTGTGCATGCACAGACAGACAATGACAGAGAGACAGATGGTCGCTGCTCTCTTCTCTATAGAATATCAGAGATTATTTTGTTATCCCCTGATGAACTGCAAACCAATAAATCCCCCTTTTTCCCCTCTCTTTCTTTTGCTTCTTAACATCTTCTAGTGGCAGATGCCTACTGTTTGCTGGAAGTGTACTCTGTCCTCTCCCGCAACCCAGCATCTTTTGGGCTGCCTGATGACCTGCGCAGCATATCTTCAAGCCAATCAGAGAAGAGCAGAGACAAGAAGCTGAAGGAGAAAAAGGACAAGCAAACAAAACAGACCCTTGAGAAAGAGGTCAGGGATCAGTTGCCTTTTCTTCTTTTTTTTAATACATCTTTATATCTATATCTAGATAGGTAGGTAGAAAGGTGTGTCTGTGTGTGTGAGTTGGTGTAGCTAATAAACTATGAATATTCAGCTGTTTGATTTATTGACATCGTTATTAGACATTATTAACAGGAGCAGAACTGGCTGTTGCAGTAACTCTGCAGCATTCAGACCAGTGTGTGTGTGTGTGTGTGTGTGTGTGTGTGTGTGTGTGTGTGTGTGTGTGTAATAGTCAAACCTTTACACCTGTATGTAAAAAACAAAGACGCTGAACTCATTTCGGACGGGGGAGAACAAAAAGTAGAGAAATAAAAGTCACTGCCATGAGTGATAAGATAAGCAATTTTCAAGTCAAACTTCTTATCTTACGTTAAGAAAACATATACTTTACCACCTGAACCACAACCTTATATAGATTGTTTTTCCCTCATTAGTTGTCTTGATGAAACATGTAGTAACTGTGCTTGCTGGTCTAAGAGGTAGAGAAATTTAAAAGCTGTTTTATCTTTATATTTATTTCAAGAGTTCAGTTTTAAATATTTTTCCCACTATTTCACAAAAGTTCATTAATATACTTGACCTGCTTTGTTCATATTTTACTTATATTTGTTTTTGGTAGGTTTCATAACCTTATACTCAACCTGGACATGTTGCAATTCTACTGTGAATGCAATTAACAATTATCAGTGTTGTTGAGACCAAAACCAAACAAGGGACCTAGTAAACAGTTTCCTTATAGAGGGTCTTTGCATCAGAGTGGCATTTTAATACTTGAAGCAAAGAGTATGTATTCAGTTAGGGTTTTTTTTGCCTTTTTAATAGTGCAGAATTTCATGCAGAAACATGATTGCAGTCACCAGCAGGATTACTGTAGGTGTTGGTTCCGCTTCATAGACAGCGACCAACCTATTTACATGTAAAGCAGAATCTGCTAATTTAGCTATTCATTCTTCTGTGATAAATTTTCATGTTACATGTAAATGCTAAAACCTCTTACTGAAAACCCAACTTTTGAGCCTTCAGCCTGTAAGGAGGGACAATAAGTCCTTGACAAAGACACTTCAGCAGTTCCTAGCAGCTCCAGGGGTGCAGATTTAAAGCTCACCCAGTGCTATAGCCTCCCTGAACTGTGGTGCAAGTGAAAAGAAAATCCCCCTATGGGGATCGGTTAAGTATCACATTATTGTCTCTGTCCATTTAGGAATGTCAGGGGGCTCAAAGGGTCAGCCCCTCTCGTTCAGATCCAGAGAAAGGCGTCTTGTATGGTGAGAAGCCTTCAGAAGATTCCCCACCGCTACCCCCTCAGCAGTTGCGGGTGGTGTGTGACAACATGCTGCAGGGACTCGGAAGATACCTGCGTTGTTTAGGAGTTGACGTGGTCATATTGGAGAACACTGATGATCACAGGGTTGCAGCTAAGGTTAGTCCTGCTAGTTTTTCTAAATATTCACATTTTCCACAGAAAAAGCCCTTGGGATGTCACAATATCAGATATTTGGTAATCAGTGCTGTTACCATTTAATTTTCACTTTTTCCATACCCCATTTATTCATATCAAAAATAAATTGAATGAATGACCTCATTCCAAAGGATGTTGCCACATACTTACGCTGCTATATTGTGATGTTATTAATGGTATTGATGTCAGCCTTAATGATCCTAAAAATATAAGCTTGACTCATGCCACAGCTACTTCACTGCTGAAGCCCAGAAATGGCATGATTAGGTATCCACAAGTCTTTCCTCCTGTAGTTTTTATGCAAATGGTATTAGAAAGAACTGATCGCTTTTAGCTATTCATAACGTTTTCCTGGTCAGTTCAAATCATAAATATCTGCACAAATTAGAGCAGACCTGTTCCTACACCTAGACTTGCTTCTACTAGGCCAAAAATTACTGTACTGTAGCATCTTCAGAACCTATATTACCATATAAAAACATACCATAATGTTTTCAGAATTTTGTGTACCAAAGTACATTTCAAGCATGAGTGTCATTACCGCATACATTTATTGTACTCTTTTGTTCTTGTGTGAATTTGTTGTGTCTTAGTTAGCGCAGGCTGAAGGCCGTGTCATTCTTACATGTGGACAACCATTCCAAACTGTAAGTACACATGAACTCAAAAACAAATCTAAAATCTAGGGAATGCTGATGCACTGTGCGCTTGTTTTCATGCATTGGTGTGTCTGACTTGTTTCCTGGTACACATAGTTTGTCTGTATCTTCCCGTACAGTTGCGTTCCCAGGTGGCGGAGGGTCGCTGTCTCTCCCTAGCCTGCTCAGAAAAGGCCAGAGACCAGGCGGTTCGAGTTCTCAAACACTTTAACATCCAGCCCACTCCCAGTGATATATTCAGCCGCTGTCAGGTATTTCTGTCTATGAAAATATTTGTTTATGCGGTGTGCTACACACTTGTACATGATTTTCATGATCTTTTGTGGATAGTTAGAGTGAAGTTGTCTGCAGGGACGAAAAGTTCCCAACAGACAAATGAAGAAAATAATACATGACTTGATGCAGAGTTGGATACAGATAACATCTGTGTAATTTAACAGTTAGTCCAAAATATTAATTTATCTTGCTTACTACTTACATTTGGCTCATACACAACTTTAATCAAGAGAAACACAAGAACTATAGTTGTTATTTTAGTGAGAAGTATCATGAATGGAAGAATTTCGTAATTTTTTTTAAAAGCTTCTGCTTGAGTAAAGTAGTTGAATTCAAAGGAAAAATGCTTGTGGTAAAGGTGGTATGTTTAACACAGAAAGAAAGTGGAAGCATTTCTGAACTCTTTACTGGCAAGACTACCAGGAAATAAAGTGCTGACAGCATGGGAAGATGTTGAGCATTCTTATGTTCCTTATGTTGGAGATGGAAAAGAGACTTGCACTTGTGGTTAAGCCTTTCTTTGGTCATTTTAGCCTTTTTGGCCAGGGTGAAGGGAGTATCTGCCATCAAACAAGAGGACAGCCGCATGTAACTACGACGGTGTTTGCTAGTTCACTTTACGTGCATTAATTTAATAACGTGGTTAGCCTACTCAACGTAAATTACACACGAACAACATCAAACTACTCACGCAGAGAAGAACGGCTGCTGCTGCATCATCATCCGTCATCATTTCTGCTACACTGGCAGGGCTAGGGGCCAGGACTCTCCTCTTCGTGTTTTTGGGGGATGTTGCTAACTCCGGGTCCGATAACAGGCACCACTCCCGCAGTATCAGAATCAGAATCAGAATACTTTATTGATCCCTGGGGGAAATTATTAATGCGCTCGGTGTGAGGTCTCGCAGCAAGCTATTAAGTACGGCGCATTTTTCGGCTTTTAAAAAAAACACTATGCGTTGCCAGGTGTTTCATCGGATTCGAGGTGTTACCTCCTTTGCACAGTGTCACAGTATCAGCTTAAATCACTTGTTGCAGGCTGCTGAGTTTGCATCTTTTGCTGTGAAGTACAGCCAGACTTTTGACCGCTTCGCCTTGGGCATTGTTAATCTGTAGCTCTGCTCTAAAAGAACGTACGTACCTGGACCCGCCTACTATCCTCGGAAACGTAAAATGATTGGCTAGAATTCAAAGTGTATGACATCTCAGGGAAAAAAAAAGCACCGAAATAAAGCACCGAAATGTGGGCTGCTTTTCGGTCTGGTTACTACCGTTTATGTCAGACCCGCTGCCATAATGGCACCGGATACCGGTACCCATCCCTACAGAGGAGTCAACAGGGAGATGCCTTACCTCACTGTATTTTGTGGTTTTGTTCACGAGAGATTTTATGATGTAAGATATTAACAAGCTGATTGGTATAGGGTGTATGTGGGTGTTGTAGTAGTAGCAGGGAGGCTAAACAAATGTATTCAGCAGTAAATCTAAGGTCATCTTTAGTAAAAGGAGGAGGGTGAAGTCAATCCACGTTACCTTTATGTTCAAAGTAGCCATTTTAGAGCATCCAGAGTATCTAATTATTATCCCTCCTGAGCCAGACTCCCTCTTTGTGGAGGTATTCTCAGCATGTCCAAATGGAGGAAGACCCTGGGGCAGACCCAGAAGACTCCGAATGGGATTGCATATCCCATCTGGTCTGGGAATTCCTCAGCAGGGGCTGGAAGATGTTGTGAGGAAGTGGGATGTCTGCGTTTCATTGTTTAGCTTGCTGCCACCACAGTCTTGACCAGTGCCACTGTTGGGTGATGGGGGAAGATGTATAAAAGATGCAAAAACTAATGGATATGGAAAAGGAGAGTCAAACATGCAGTGGTTCACTAAGAAAATTTACCATAATGCTGTGGATGAGAAGTAGCTTTAAGATGAAGACTTGATTTAAAAACATGGAAAATAGAAAATAAAGGAATTTAACTGAAGAAGGAATAAAGCTGAATAATTATCTGCTTCCTAACAAGCATGTGTGTATCCATAAGTAATACTAAAGTAGCAGCTCATGTTTATTATTCAGATCCATATTTTATCATGGTTGTGGAAAATATGTTAAAACAGTTACACTGCATCAATAACAGTCTGATTTATAGTACCTGACCTACAGATATCTCTGTGGGTGGCTGTTTTAGAGGGGCTATGTGCCATGCCAGCTGTGTGTGTTTGTGACTGGGAGTGGAATCAGTAGAGTTTAAAACTTGGGTGTTCTAGCGTTCTTCTAGGAGGGGGTGAGGGGTGGCGAATTTGTCAAGACACCACCAGCTGCATTCCTTTTTTTTTTTTTTGACCACCTTGATGCTACCTCCTGTTCTGATGATATGATGAGGATCACACATACCCAAAAAAAGCAGCAATTGATCATTGGCTAAATAGTCATCCATCTACATCCTTTACTTTAGTACACACTTCCTACACAACTTCAAAGAAGTCACTCCAATACATCCCATATAAATGCTGAATAGCATATTTAAATTATTACATTTTCCCACATAACTAGTTACATCTCTGGCACAGAGCTTTTTTCATTAGTTCATTCAGTGAAAAGCTCTTTCAACCACTTCCATCTCTCCTGCTGCCACTTTTTTAAAAACAGACTGACCAATGTTATCTTAATAAAATGTTTTCAGAATTATTATTATTATCAAAAGTAATATTGCTCAAGTATAATACAGTCAAACCTCCCCCCCAATTAACGGTTCAGTATTCACAGATTTTTTCCATAGATCAAAATTATTTGCAGATGTCTACGCTGCCAGTTCACCGCGTAGACATCTGCTGTTCAAGTGGTTCACGTATTTGTGTACTTTGTGTGTCTTTGTCTCTCGTTTTTAATCTAATTTGACTTTGAAATGATTTTTAAGTGTTTTGGGATGATTTGATGTTTGAACTATTAAAATAGGCAGTTATAAAGGGGGTCTCAAGTATTTGCGGTTATTGTCACACCGGGGGTTGACTATATTCCTTTTCATTATTTGGTTAAATGATATTGAAGATTAATAATACATTTCAGTCAGTTGTTTGTATTAAAGTTTTGTTGACCTTTGCTTAAATTGTAAAATATTGTAGGGGTGTGTGTGTGTGTGTGTGTGTGTGTGTGTGTGTGTGTGTGTGTGTGTGTGTGTGTGTGTGTTGGCAGAGAGCAACAGAGAGTTTCACCCTGGGGCTCCACAACAGCCCACCCAGGCAAAGTTAACCTCTTTTGTTATCTGATTGTAAAGCTATCAAATTAGCAATGGATGGCTTAGTTTCTCTCCCTTTTTGTCTATGTGTTCCTCCCTCAATCACATACACTACTGCTAAATGTCATGAGGAAAGAGAAGTAAATCTCTCACACACACACACAACAGGTTAAGCACAGCCTCGTGTAGGCATGCATATGTAAATTGTAGGGGAAGGGTTAATGTTTGTTTCTGTGTATCAATAGGCCTCACAGATTTTAGAGGCATAGGAATTTGACCCCAAGAGAGAATGCAACATAGAGAAGGGCATCATGTTTTTACTTTTCTGCATAGTTGCGCAATTGAAAAAATACTACCTCATGTATTTAAAATGTCATGTATGGTGTTTGAGGGATTCATATGGAAGTTGTTTATCTTCCGTGTGACTGAAAAACCTGGCTTCAGAAACTGAGAGTTATGCTCCTTATTCAGGCAGTATTAATACATATTCTTTGTGTAAACAAGGCAATTCATTTGGCTTGTATTTATATAAAGACCCATTTGCTGTTGGGAGATTTGAATCCGTCTCTGCTCTGCGGGATATGGCATCAGTCCCTGAAACCTCATACAAAAGAAATAATTAAGTAAAATAAAATGAACACTTTATAGAGACCTTTTTTTTGTTAATATGGAACTTCCTTTTGCTTTCATCTGCATTCTGTATCACATTTCTAAACAAATCTACCTGAAATTTAAGTTTGATTTATTTAGCTTACTGTGCTTAATATGAGGTGAATATGTTTCTCCAAAGGCAAGCAAGCACATTTAAACCATTAACATTGAAATGATTTTAATTGCACTGTCAGAGCTCCAAAAAAGATAAAATTATTTTCAGCTTTAGTACAGATTGTTAGTGTTGTCAAAACCCAACCATCCATTTTATTCTACTTATCCTGTTCAGAGTCATTGGGGGGGCTGGAGCCTGTCCCAGCTGTCAAAGGATGAGAGATGTGGTACACCCTGGACAAGTTGCCTGTCTGATGCAGGGTTATGTTATAAATATGCTGATTTAAATATACATTACAGTAATATATTAAATATCTATGAAAATCAAATCAAAATATGGCAATAATTAAAATAACATTTGCAGTAAAGCAAGTTATACAGGTCGGTTTCAGTGTTCTGTTTCTTAAAAAATATTTACTGTTATAAAATGTTAACAGATATCACAGAAATGAACTGTTTATAGTCCCTAATTAGTATCTCCAGCAAGGGTATTCCTTTGATGGTAAAGCCTAGTGGTTGCTCCATTGCAGTTTCCCTATTTAGCTCTATCCAACTCCCACCACTAATTCCTGCTCTATCTATACTTTCTATTCAAACACACACACACACACACACACACACACACACACACACACACACACACACACACACACACACACACA